CCATCTCACCAGCCACAAGAGTCTTAAATATCTCTTAGATTGATTTCTTCCTGTGTTTCCATTGTTACTTCCCCAGCTCAAGTGTTTATATTAGAATTCATTCATGCAACCTCCTCATTGTAAGACTTCCTGCCCCCCTTTCCTTGCAGTGTTAAGAACAAACCCAAGGCCTTGTACATGCTTGGAAGTCTCCTATACTTCCTGCCTTCTTGCATAACTTTCCATAAATCCATTTATGATCACCCCACTCCAGAGCCCCCACCTTGAGATGAAAATCTGCTTGTGCTGTTGCTGAATCCAGCCTTTTTTGCCAGGTACTGAGTAACACCAATGATGGAAATGACCAGGTTTTACAAGGGATAGTCCTCTTCCACCAGAGGTGTTCAAGCATGTAGACAGGAGGACAAGTTTCAAACTCTCAAACACACCCCTCCTAGACTGGGTTTGGTAGATGGTTATGGGCAGAGGCACAAAGAAAGGGGACTGAAGTTTAGGCAGTGCTGGTTATGCCTGTGCAAGCCAACTTCATCTGCTGTTACTGTTGTGACTCACACGTCAGAGGTGTCATCTATTCCTCTAAAATTGGTGGTTTTTAAACTCAGTTGAATTGGGTTGAATTTAGAACAAGTGACTAAGAGAATTTGAAATAGCTTCAGAGTTCAGGTACTAAGAGCCTTTGAAATGACTTAAGGCTACAGGGTTTTCCACGGTTTTGTTGGTTTTAGTATTATTGTGCCTAAAACAGTGGTTCCATATTATCTTCCAAATAAAGCCTAATGCTGACCTCATCCCCATCCCCAGAATAGCTTTCCCTTCCTTGCATGGGTGCAAACTCCTCTTTTTATTCAAATATTTACACACACACACACACACACACACACACACATGCATGCACGCACACACACACACACACAGTGTTTGCAGTTACATATGCCTTTCAATCAGTGCTGGTCATATGGAAAACAAGTTATCAGAAAGATGAAGAAAAATAAGCCTTTCCTTTTATAAATAAAACAATACAATTTGCATTTTCTAAGCTTTTCCCAAACAGCTTAAAATTTCACTTCTTACCCATTCCTTTGTGAATTTGGATTCTTTAATCTTTATTTTCTACCTTTATCAATGTACTGTTGAGCAGTTAAAAAAATGATGTATATTTATAGGGCACCAAATGATGTTTGGATAGACATTGTGAGTCAGTCACTCACCAAAATCAAGCTGACAAACATGGCCATCACCTTACAGTTACCGTTTTGGGTTTTTGTTCAGCGTCAAGAACACCTTAAGTTTCAGAAAACGTTAGCACAGTACAGTATTATTATCATGTCGTCATGCAGAACATTAGATCTCATCTACATAACTGAAACTCCTTATGAATTGATTCTCTCTCCCGTAGAACCTGCCCTGACTAGTGTAGACTTACTTATGGGGCTTTATTGCGACATGAGGGGCTGCTTTTAAGAGATCTTTTCTTACCTTTCCACTAGCTGCGACGGCATCTTCAAGATCTGAAACTCTATCCACTTTCACTCAAATGATTTTTCAAGCTTGTGATTGAGATTTTAAGTTCCTCTATGTCTCTTTGACTCGCTTCATGCTATCTATTTTTTTCCTATATTGCTCATTGAAGGATCCATCATTTTTCTAGTCTCTATTTTTTATCAGTGTCTTCTTGAGAAGCAGTTATTATTCTTTATTATTCTTTCATTATAGTTATCCTTTCTTTTTTTACTTCAGAGATTATTTCTGATCTGATTTCCTCTGTATGTTTTGATTCTTTACTTCCAACACTATTAATTCAGAGATTTCTTTTTTTATTTCAGAGGTTATTTCTGATCTGAGTTCCTCTATACCTTTCTGCAGTTGTTTCTTTACTTCAGATGCTATCAGTTTAAACATTTCAGCTGTGTGATTCCCAGTTTCTTCTGTGCTAGTGTCTTCTGCACTTGTTCTGGGTGGGCTCGGGTACTGAGATTGCATTTTGCTCCTTCTTTTTGTCATTTTGTATAGCACTGGCCTCTGACCTTTGGTGTAGAGCTTTGGTGCAGTTACAACATTAGCACCTACTGAAATTTGGGTGCAGATCTACAAAGTTTGAATTTGTCCAGTTGTGCCTGGCTTGGGTCTGGATGCTGTGCTCAACTTCTTCCTGCTGCAGCCCTTGGAGGTGAATCTGTTGTGCCCCTCTGGCAAGGTGTTCTGCTCCTGGATTAGCTGGGTGGTTCTGTCCCCTACTCTCTGCAGGGATTGCAGCTGCAGGGTTTCACCTCAGGCCTGTATGCCAGATGTGGGCTGTGTCTGGAGGGGTCCAGAGAGCAGGACAGATGGACTCACTTACAAGTGGGCCTGGGCTGGGTCCGGAGGGATCCAGCAGGAAAAGGGAAGTGTGGAAGCTCTTCCACGCACTAGCCAGACCTGGGCTTGGGCTGGGTCTTGAGGCACAGCGGAAGTTCTCAGTCACAGGTGGGGCCTGGGCTGGGTCCGGAGGGGCCCAGGGGGTGCAGGGGAGCACAGAAGCTCTCCCACACACTTGCCAGACCTGGGCTTAAGCTCATGAGGGGTGCTTGATATCGGGACCACACTTTCCTCATCCTTGTGTTCATAGAACTTAGAATAGTACCAGGCACACTGGGAGCAGTGGAGAAATATTTATTGATTAAATATTCAACAATTACTGACTTATGCTTCTTTTTTTTTTTTTTTTTTTTTAATTTTATTTGTGTGTGTGTGTGTGTGTGTGTGTGTGGCCAGCTCAGCCCACCAGGGGGCGGGCTGGCTGGCATGTGGTGCTGGGGGATTGAACCGCGGTCCCTATGCTTTGCTAAGCTTGTTCTAAGTAGGTGCTTTAGACCACTGAGCCATCTCACCAGCCCTGACTTATGCTTCTTGAAAGGTCTAGATGTTTGACTTCGCTGCAGTCTGCCCAGGGGGAATAAATCTAACAAATGAGGATAATAACTTCCGCTTCACACTGACTCCACTCATCTCTGCATATATTTGCAGCTCCCTCTTTGCCTAAAGATACATCCCTATGTCTCTCAACATCAAGGAAGCTTGAGGGCGTCAGGGAGAGCATGTAGGCTTTGCATTCAGACCCTTTTGCTTAAGTATGAAATGGAAATGGTGGCTCCCATCTCACAGAGCTGTGGTGAGAGTGAACGGGATGATGTGTGGCCATGTGCCTAGGCCTGGAGCCATGGCCCCATACATGTGGGTTGCAGTTTCATCCTTTTCCCCTTCTCTGCCCTTGGTCTGCTGGAGGATTGATGGCCTTCATCTTGTTGTCCTGTTGACCAGTGCTTCTTGTTTTCCTTTGAGAGCTTTAGACTCCTGGGAATAGAGCAAAATATTTGATTTGAGAATGTCATTGAGATGTTTCATTGTAACTAAAAGAATGAGACTTACTAACAAAGAATTTGACATCTAGAGCTGCAAAGTGACTGAATGTTTGGAAGGACCAGAAGAGAAGAGAAATAAATCCCAGATCAATTATGCATGAAGTGGTCTAAGGCAAACAAGAGGAAGTCAAAGTGTGGGGTTCTCTCTTTTTCCTGATGAATATATTATCATTTACTGCATGAGGTAAAATACCTGTCAACTTAGGCAAAGAGCTCTCATTGTTTTAG